TGATAGAGCACATTTTATTTCTCATAGGACAGGAGGAAAAAAAATTCCCCCAAAACAACTTAATGTCTCATTAAAATTCTAAAAGGTCAGATTTTTTAAACAATTAAGTTAATATCAGGAGATGAATTAAATGGCTCTTCCTTAAAATATTTTCTTTATGTAAAATATTTGGATGAATCCCATTCCAAATTATTTAAATAGAGAACCTACTATTTTCCTTGTGGAAATAGCACTAATATTCCATTCTCATAATTTAAAAGGCTTCTTCAAATTATACAGAAATGTAAATTACAGTAATAAATTTGCAAAATATATTGAGATTATCATACCCCACACCTTGTGTATTTCTTTCTTTCCATTCCATATTGACTCACACATCTTATAATTTCTTTTATTTAAAACAAAGAAAAATAGAGGGGGTCCATATGCAAATATATCAGTAACCCAGAAAGATAGAACAATCAACATCTCAGACTGGGCACATGAAGACCAAGGACCCAGCTCACTCCTCTCAAACTATGACATTATGTCATTGACCTATATCATTGTCCTTGCTCCTTATCCCTTTGCCTCTGAGGGAAGTTGTGTATCCCCAGGAGGAAAACAAGAAATCACCCTTGAATTAATTTCAAATTTCCATTATCAGAGAAAATAGGGACTCAAGAGAGAAATTAAATTCAGTAGGGGAAAAAAAAGCTATATTTTGGCTCATCTGAGTTTATGGCCTGTGAGAGATGGAAATCTACAGCAATGAGCTTTTCCTTCAYCAGCTGTGATAGAGGAAAGTGCAGGTTAACTCAAGCAATGATCTGCAGCAGGCATCATCATGGAAAGAAAATCCTAGAGAGGTGCAGGTTCTGCTCCTAAGTTGCCTTCTGCATMTAAGGAAGAAACATTGTCAGGATTCAGGCATAAACCTCAGCAGCTACTTGAAGGAAGAATGGGAGGAATCACAAATCATGACCATATAACCAGCAACTTTCATAACATTWTGTAAAAGCACCAGTCACTTATTTTCTCAAGGTCATTAACATTTCCTCCTGTCATTTTGTAAACAGATGGCATCTTCTGGAGATACAACTGCGGTTTGTGGAAGAAAGCATGGTTTTGTCTCTAATGATTATTCCCAATCATGAATRTTGTCGTTTTCTTTACTTTTAACAAAAATCTCACTGCCATTTTCTGTTGCAGGACATACTGTAACCCACAGGATGCTGACAAGATGTTGACTAGCACTAAATGACTAATTATTATCTAGCAACCACTGTTACAGTTATCCAACTGAGGATATCCACTGGAAAAGATTGAGGGAGCAGGGTCTAACTAAGAATAAAAGAGTAAAATAAAGTCACTGAGCTAAGATGAGCCTCTAGATAATGAGTCCTGAACAGAGGTCAATGTGATGCATAAACATACATGAGCCTCTTTTTGTCATGGTAATGAATACACTCGCACGCAACTCTGTGCTTACTTTACCGAAGGGTGACACATTCTAGAAATACAAAAATGACCAAAAATAGAAAATAGCACCTCTCATAGTGATGCCACTACCCAAATACCCATGCCAGGTCCACYACTGTACAGACAGTCTCCTGGGTCAGATGCACTATGGCAAGGATGAAAAAGACAGTACAAGTATTCTAAAACCTTTACCTGTTCAGTGTCCCCATAAACTGTTCTGCTATAATCTTTGAATGTTCTATTGCTCTCATTTATGATGATTTTCATCTTGACAAGATCATGTTTCCAAGATACTATAATGATACCCAACATTAAGAAAGCAGACTTATATCCAGACTTCTGGGTATGGACTAAAAGTCTATGTGGCTATTCCCATATATACATCCCAATAGCACAAAACCACAGAGCTAGTTATAATGTACAAGCACAAAATTTTCTATGAATCAATAAAGCCCTGAAAACTTTAAAAGGCCCTTTCTAGAAGGAGTGATTGCTGAAAAATAGTGCTCCAGTAAACTTGGACGCTAGTGACAAAACATTTTAAAGATAAAGACATGATACTCTGTTTCACCCCTCTGGGGAGTAAATCATTTTCCTCCTGACATAGCAMAAAGAGGATATTTAGCCCCACATTCTCCCATTTCTCTGGAGAGTTTTAGACATGACCTTTCAACCCTAACGGGGTGAGGCTGCTGCCTCCTGAGTGTCTCAGAGATTAGAAACACAAGATCCCAAAAGAATTAACCAGGCAGTGTCCTGCTATGTTAGCATTAAGCGCTGTAGTATTATGAAAAGTGCAGTTCCTAACTGGGAAAACAAAAAGATAAGGCAGCTGATAACAACTCATTTGTTTTTGCAAAATCACTTCCAAAAAAGAACTTGGTTTAGATAAAAGTTCACTAGCTGAATCTAGATCCATATTTTGCAGTAGACATTTCTACATTCTCCTTTTTTCTATAGGAAATGAAAAATGAAGTAGAAAAACAGAAAGGAAAAAAAAACTGACCTGATTTCAATTTCTAAATGGGTTTTCAAGGGTTTTTATTATTTCCTACAACCTATCACATATCTACTGCATGTTTTTCATCTTCTCATATGAAARTTTATTAGATCTTCTACCTAGTGGAAATTTAAGCAAAAATTCACTGCCCTGTCCACTGATCTCATTGTGGGACTAACTGCCATCATCCTGAGTGTCCTGTGCATTCCCCAAATCCACAGCTCAATTTTTCTCCAAGTCCAAAACAGTCATGTCCACTCCCCACCATTCTGTAGCTGCCATCCTTCCCTGAATTCACAGTCCCCTTGTTCACAGGCAAATGGGATCACCTTTATTCTTTCCATTCCAATGCCTTTGTATCCTTGTTTTTCACAAGGACCCCAAAACAGCACAGCCCAAGTACAAAGCTTTCTGAAGAGCTCTCTGAAGGGGTGGTTGGGTCTGTGAGTAAAATACAAAATATCCAGGGGCAAACTGGACTCCACATCCTTTAGGCAATCTTTCTGTGAGTATTATTCTTCACAAATATGCTTTTTCAGGAACTGAAAAGCAAGCTCAAGGTGGTGGGTAACATATGAAGTACAAACATTTTTAAAAGAATGAGGCAGACATAAGTTTTGACAATGAGATGGCCCTCCTCTTAAGAGTCCAACTTTTAAAATCCTCTGTAATCATTAAAGGAGCTTTCTCTACCTATACAATATGACTTCCTACTTTTCCTTCCAATGAATTATCCCTAACATTATCATAATCATTATATTTAAGGGTTTCAAATACTGGCTGCTTTAATTACTATCTTATCATATATATTACTATGTTGCCAGCATGTAGATCTTCATTTGGAATTAGGATGTGCAGCATGTCAAATGTCCATAACCACTTATTAGTTTAAAAAAAAAAAAGTTCCTTTGTCCAACTTGTAAYTTCTAAGAGGAATCTTGAATACTTTGAAATTCATATGTGACCATTTCTGCTGCTTTATTGAACAAACACTTTAAAAGCTTCACTTTGAAAAGTTTCGTTTACTCCCCGTTAATTAGCTTAATTATTTTTTTCCTTTGAGAATCTAAAGAGCAGCTGGATTATGCAAGCTGCTGCCACTGGAGTGAAAGGATTTGGTTTAGGGCTTTTATAGGGGGTGGAGTGGCATGTTGTTGTTGTTGTTTTGTTTTGTTTTGTTTTTTACTATTCTGACCAGATAATATTTGTTGGCAAAGACTCTCAAAAACTGGCAAGAGCTATAATTTAGACATTTGAACCATTCTCCCTAGCTATATAAGAGTAATCCAACCTTCCAGCACTAAGATGCCCTAACTCTCAAGACTTATACCTTAGGAAACTAAAAAATTTGCTTCTTAGAGTAAACATATGGGTTATGAATTATTAATTATACAGAATAAGGCTCTGGGATCAAAAAATTAAACTAAACCCTAAAACTAATAAATAATATGTTCCATATTTGTATCAGATGAGAGAATATGGAAAATTTAAGTTAGGGTCATGACAGGTAGAATCAGAAAAGCCAAAGCCCACTTTCCAGATTCATGAACAAATACTTAAGTAAAGGAAGCCTACTGCATAATGAGGTCTGTCCTTCTGATTCTAACCCCCAGGGGGAAAAAAAGAGTTTATAGAATGATAAAGAGATTCTATATAAAAGAAAACTTTCCAGGTAAGTAGGTAGGTAGGTAGGTAAGCAGGTAGACAGGTAGGTAGATGTGTGTGTGTGTGAATTTTTTTTTTTTAGACTTCGACATAATTAATAAGACAACCTTTCAGAGAACTAATTTAAAACTTTAAAATTTTTCAGAATTGTATACCTGAAAATCCTTAAAATAYCCTCACCAATAAAATTAAATAAAACCAACTGGAACATAAATTTTCAATTCAATTAGTAAAACTGGATGACTAAGGCTTGGCAGGTATCAAAGAATTAGTTAATACAATATAAAATGATATAAATGTAAGTTTACTATAAATGACAAAAATAAGTTAATAAATCCAAGCATCACTATTTTAAATTTAAATTGAATGCAAGAACTCTTTTTTAAAAACTCTAACATACTATTTTCCCGCTATACCTACAACTACTTTAAGAGAAGAAAAAAAGACATGAATATATACTGTTTAATGTCTTCTAATAGAAATTTCATGTTAAACATCAGTCCTGAGGTTACTAAGGACCTCAAATCCATCAACAAATTGTGTTTATTACTTACAAATTTTAAAGGAGTCTTTCCTGCTTTGACTGACACACACACACCCCGCCATTAATCTCAGGCACAGCAAAACAAACTGAATACCAAACCAACCTATACTGTACATYGGTAAATGTGAGCAACACAATTAAAAATTTTGCACCAGGTATTTCATTTTCTGGCTCAGAGATAGTTTTTTATAGGTTAATAATTGTTTTGAGAAACTCAGTACCAATTTGATTATATAAAGAAATGGATATTATAATTATGATCCACATATTCACCTATATTGAGAACTTTAGGCACATTATTAAAGTCACAAAGAAAAACTAAACTTCTATAAAAGTCATGATCTTTACTGGCGTTCAAAAAAACAAAGAAGTAGCTTTAAAAAAAAGTATCACCATTCATCTCAAATATCATCAACTATATGACACCTCAAGACACATTGGTTTGGAAAAAAAAATATTCTTATAAACAGTTAAGACAGATTAATTTCATCTATTTCCTAGTAGTAAGACTTTCCCCAAAGTTAGTAAAACAGAGCTATTTAATGTTAGCCTTTTGTCATGAGAAACAATTGCTGCATCACTTTGCAAACATGATAAATTCATTTTATTTGTCAAATAGCTGAATTCCACTCAAGTGCACTTAATACAGTACTAAATTGATTGAAATTAAAGAGATTTCCAATTAGAAATGGGGTTTTCAAAATACTAATGTTAATTTCAAGTTGTTTCATTGAACATAGAAAGCACATAATTTGTTTCCAGCATCTCAAAAAGATTATATAGKCCTTTAATGTATCAAAATAGAAGTGAGAAAATATACTGCTAAAATCTGGAATCTGAAGTACAGTTTGAAAACTTAAGACAGATTTAATGAGATCAATTCAAACTATGGTTAAAATGCAATGGGACAGCTTAGGAACTGACAAAAGTTTCAAATTAGTCACATCTGCTGAGAAAACAAAAATGCAGGTATTTGCAATGTTTACATTGTGTTGTATTTTTTAGTCCCAAACAAATTTTAAGTCCTGAAATCCTAGACATTCAACTTCTGAAAACATTCTTGGTTACAGAAGGGGAATTTAAAAATCCAGCGGAATTATATCTAAAATGAGGTTATTCTTTCTCCTTTTATAAAATTCTTTTGCCCCCCCAAAAAATATGCACAGATAAACATTCAAAATTTTCAATCTTTTTTATAAAATGGAAGGATCACTGCTCTTGAAAAATATCCCTCYATCTTCTTGGCTTTCTTCAGTCTTCCTTTTCTTCCAAGAGCTTTGCTACAGATGTGGATCAGCCACAAACACTGATGCTTTCTGCCTGTTCCTATAGCTCGAAGCAGCAACCTCATCAGATACTGACTTGGGCTTTGATATTTACTTCTGGTAGGATTCTCTAACTTTTGCCTGCAGCGCATCACATGTCTTCTTGGCATCACCCAGAAGCATGGCTGTGTTGGGTTTGTAGAAGATTGGATTGTCCACTGCAGCGTAGCCAACACCCAGAGACCTCTTCATGACAATGACCTAAGAAAAAGGGTTAAATGAGAGAGTGTCTTTAACAGACCTGGTTAGGGACTGCTGGACACACAAACAGTGCCCTTCCCTAACTTTGCTTTTTGTTGTTATTTTTTATAATTTGTCCACTTCTCTTTTTTATTTATATGCTATATAAAAATGTTATAATTACACATATTTGTAGGGTATTAAGTGAATTTTAATACATGCATACGCTGTATAATGTTTAAGTCAGTCTAAACATATCTATCTTCTTCAATGCTATTTATTTTTGGTGAACACATCCAAATTCCTTCCTTCAAGTTTTTTGAAATATATAGTATATTACTGAAAGTTACTAAACTGTGCAATAGCATACCAGGTCTTCACTACTAAGTCTTCAGTACAGGGACTTTTTAAATATATCAGGAGTGCTTTTAAATGTTTGTTTGTTTGTTTGTTTGTTTTTGTCCAAGGAGACGCAGCCACTGCTCCAGGGGTGATTTGGTGCTGCCTGGCACCAAGTGGCATTAACGAGGCTACCCAGAGCCTGACAAGGACCCTCCATCCCCCGGGGGCTCATTGAGCCCCAGGTACCCACTTGCCCCATGCTGGCATGCATGGACGCCTTTTCCAGTTGACCAACTAAGGCCCCAGAACAATCATGAAATGCCAACAGAGCAGAGGCCCTGCAGGAGCCTGTGTCCACCAGGGCCTGGGGWATGGGACGGCCAGGGTCACACACCTGAGGAAGCTGCAGCTGCTTCCAGGKCCTCAGGGCCTCGAGGCGTCTCCTGTCTGCAGCTGCCCTGTCCCCCAACTCTACTTTCACCCTGCCTTGCAGTCCCGAGGACACACATGGGAGCCAATAGCCACAGCTTGACCAATGTGCAGGGGATGCTTTCCTTCCTCTCACCCCAGGGAATTTCAGCTCCTCACCCCATGCAGGTCAGACCCAGGGGCCAGGTGACCATCCCACTTGGCTGGCCCCTCCCCACACTGGTCCCTCCGCCATTTGCCCACATGCCACAGCAGAGACAAAGGTGGCAGGGACTGAAAACTCAACCCCCAGAGCTGCTTAGGGTAGATGTCGGTTCAGGACCCCTCCCCATCCAGGAGAGACCAGGCCTCCTGGCACAGCTGCAAAGGTGGAAAAGGGAGGAAGGAGCCCACTGGAACCTTCTGGGCACAGGTGCTCTAGATAGGGCAGAGGGGTTGGAGGGGAAGAGAGGGGGCATGGGGTAATTAATGATGGTGGAATGTGATGATCATTACTATCCAAAGTACATGTATAAAGACACAATTGGTGTGAATATACTATGTATACAACCAGAGATACGAAAAATTGTGCCCTATATATGTAATAAGAATTGTAATGCATTCTGCTATCATATGTAAATAAAAAATGTACATAATAAAAAATGTATTTTTCTTTTACTTCTAGAAAGATACAATACCTTTATTTTGTTTCTCTACTTTCATGTGGTGCTGGGGATCAAACCCAGAGTCTCACATGTACTAGGCAAGTGCTCTACCCTGAGCTAAAACCCTAGCCCCTTTAACTGCATTTTTACTTATATCAATGTTGATTTTTAATGTGTGACCATATTCATAAATTCCTACTACAAATCCTAAAATAAATGAGGTTGAGTGGGGAAATGATATTCTATTAAAGAATATCAGAGGGCTGRGGTTGTGGCTCAGCAACAGAGGCTTGCCTGTCACGTCCAAGACCCTGGGTTCGATCCTCAGCACTACATAAAAATAAATAAATAATTGTTTAAAAAAAATGTCAGACAGTTCTGGGACAAAAATCTCAAAAAACAATCCAGCTTCTCTCAAGGACAGAACTAATCACTAACAGAATGCTCCTRCAAAGCACAATAAAAGGGGTAAGTCAATCCGTATTGATTACTATAGACATTTCTAATGACATGTGTTATGGATACTRTCCTGATGAATGTCTAGTCAGTTATTAATGAAATGTGAACAGTGAAAATATATTCATGCACAGCATGAATACTGAAGTAATGCATTCTGCAAATTMAAATATCAATTACTGAGGCACTAATATTTTATATGAACATGAACAAGTGTATTTTGTATCCCACACTAATCTCAAATACTGTTTTAAGCTCATATATTTACAAAAAATGAAACAAAATTAAAAGAAAAATGTGCATTATGCTATATATATTAAAATGCAGATGTGATTCAGGAGTAATAAAGAGGTATACCCTCTGCTGGAACAGAAGAAAATTTATAAGCCTTTAAGTTCTCCAAAATTGAGCAACTAGCTTTTTTCAAAATAATGTGCATGTGCAGAGCTTGCTTCCTTATGCCATGTTATTGTTTGGATTTCTAAATCACCTTTCTGCTAGACACTCCATAACAACATACAAATTCCCTTTCAAAAAAATTAAATTAAAAAAATGTGCTTGTCTTGGTATATGAAGGCGATGATGCTGACTCACTGTCCCAGAGGGAAACCATCTGCTTCACTGGACTCCATCTGGAACCTGGCCAGACTCATTCCAAAAGCTCACAGCTCTTTTTTCAGCTGTGGTTACGGATTTTGTTAGTCCATCCACATAATCTCATCTGGTTCTACTCATGATGAAGCTTGCTCTCAGGTTCTCTGGTGGCCAGAGCATAGACAGAAGCTGGATACACAGAACCAGGCTCTAAACACATACTTAATTCTGGGCCTCCTAAAAGGCATCATTATTTCTCATCAAGTGACTAAAGAAAGTTCTGTGTGCATATTTTAAGTGACCTTTGATCATCAGAATGAAATACAAGTCTGAAATTTTACCTGCTTTGATTTCCAGACCTCAAGGACTGGCATGCCTGCAATAATAGAGTTGGGATCTTCCTGAGCAGCTGAATTAACAGTATCATTAGCWCCAATTACAAGGACCAAATCAGTGTCTATGTGAAAAGAGAAAAAACAGAAAATATAAAAACCAAAGGAGGTCAGGCAAATTATAGCGATCTGACTTCATAATAACAATACCAAAAGCTAGTTTGCCAGGCACTACACAAATGGCTTTATCAGAGAGATTAGCCAACTGAGACAATGTCATACAGCTAAAAAGTAGTAGTAGGTTCTGCATTGAACCTTGCCTTTTGACTACAGCCTGTTTTATTATACTTACCCATATCCAATGGATTTACCTAGTCTGACTTTATAWTTTTTTTWWARAGAGAGAGAGAGAGAGAGAGAGAGAGAGATTTTTAATATTTATTTTTTAGTTTTCGGTGGACACAACATCTTTATTTTATTTTTATGTGGTGCTGAGGATCGAAACCAGTGCCCCGCGCCCGCGCATGCCAGGCGAGAACACTACCGCTTGAGCCACATCCCCAGCCCACTTTATAATTTTTTTAATCCCAAAAGGATCTTGCTAGTAATAAGATTTTATAAGAGCTGCATCCATTTTCAACTTTTAAAATGACCAATTAAGATGCAATCTACTGTCTGAAAGACAATGGTCTAAAAGTCTGTACTATATAAAGCTGTGCCCATAATTCCTGGAACTGGCTGGCTTYACATATAATTTAGCAACAGGGAAATTTTAAAAGGGGCATAAAATTAAAGTGGACTGAATTCTCTCTTTAAACTATATCTTATGATGTTGCCAAAAATGCCATGTGCATCTAGATGTACATACAATTTCATTATTATTTTTTTTTCAAATAACAGCTTTGTTTTTTTTTTTTTTTAAGTTTACAGTGGATACTTGCCAGAAAGAACTGGTCTAATTTTAACAAACATGATCCTGGGCCAAATATCATCACCATTCAACATCTACCAATGACAGCTWTGAAGTATAGCACCTTATCTCATGAAGTCCTAATACTTCAAAAAAAAGAAAAGAAGACTACTTCACTGATCATGAATTGGTTCAATTGAAAACTAGTATAACCTCAGATACTGGAAAGAATCAGACACTAAATCCTCAACAGAAGCACTTCTGTAAAGGAGGAGCCTGTAGCTAGCTAGTTCAAGGCCATAGCTACTGAGAGTCAGGACCTGGATTCAAAAGACAGGTCTGCCCAGACCTCAGATTCACCTGTGTACTACACCTCAGGATTTGCACCCAMCTTCAGCTCTTCACAGAGGAACAAAATTAAACCATGCTGCTTACAAATCTTTTGTGCCTTATTCAATACTTTAATTTTGACTGCCTATCTGCTCTGTGGAGATTATGCTTAATCAACTAGGCAGTCTTCAGTGATTTCACAACTGATATTCTAAGCCTGACATCATTTTATTCACACTTTGAATATTTAAACATCCTTACCATCCCTGTCACTTACCTGGGAAATCATGGTTGATCTCATCCATTTCCAACACAATATCATATGGCACCCCAGCCTCAGCCAGCAGCACATTAAGCTGACCAGGCATTCGGCCTGCAACTGGGTGAATTCCAAACCTAGACAAGAAACAAATGAACAGCTGGCCTTACTTGATAGGCCAAAATGTACAGAGACCAGTATCACCTCCAAATCTGTACACTTTGTTCTTGGCACCTCTGCTTTCTCCTGGTACTATCTGATCTCTTCAAGCAAAAGTAGAATTTGTTCAGATAGATGGTCAATCTACAAAACCGACGTTAAAGATTCATGGTCATAGTATACACAAAYTATAACTTCCCTCATAAAAATAAGGGTGTAACTGGAATCTGACTCCTTCATATATRTTTTAAGTGCAATGAACCTCAAACAATATTAATAAATAATATCCTGTCACATTTAAAAACATTATGTTCTCTTATGATACTTTCAGATAAATCCTGAATCTTTTKGGGATTGAAGCCAGGGGTATTCTACCACTGAGCAACATCCCCAGTCTTTTTATTTTGAGATAGTCTCCCTAAGTTGCCCAGGCTGGCCATAAACTTTCAATCCTCTTGTCTCGGTCTCTGAAGTAGTGGGATGACAGGCATGCACCACTACACCCTGCAATAAATCCTAAATCTTTAAAAACATATTAAGCCAACCTGGAATTAAATTTTTCCAATGAAAAATCAACATTATTCCATCAAAAACTGACTCCACATTCAACTTTAACCCTTAAGCTCAAAGGTAGGAAAATAAAATATTGCACATACATGATGTTAAAGGTCCACAATCCTTCAGAGAATAGTATAAAGCATTACTCTGTATCACAGAGGAAATATGATAGTAATACAATGGAATGTTTAACAGACAAGGCTGATTCATAGTGGGGTAGGGAGGGGGAGCATGGGAGGAATAGATGAACTCTAGATAGGGCATAGGGGTGGGAGGGGAAGAGAGGGGACATGGGGTTAGAAATGATGGTGAAATGTGATGGACATCATTATCCAAAGTCCATGTATGAAGACACGAATTGGTGTAAATATACTTTGTATACAATCAGAGATATGAAAAATTGTGCTCTATATGTATAATATGAATTGTAATGCATTCCACTGTCATAYATAAAAAATTAATAAAATTTTTTTAAAGACAATGAATAATACACAATCAGATCTCCACATTTAAGGCAAAGGAAATAAGAACATCAAGCAATTTCTTTCAATCACAGATATAATGGGATTTTTAAAGTTTCTTAATTCAACCTTTACCCTGTCAGCACAGGGCATGGTGCCTGGCACATAGGAAGGACTCCATAAAAATCAAATGAATTATCTTTTCACTAAGATGATGCTGAAAGTGAAAAAGGAAGTTCACATCCATCCCAAAGCCAAAACCAAAGCAAAGGCTCTGAAGGCCAAGAAGTTAGTGTTGAAAGGTGTCCACAGCCAGAAGAAAAGCAGATTCACATGTCACCCACTTCTGGCATCCCAAGACACTGAGGCTCCAGAGCCAGCTCAAATACCCTTGGGAAAACACCCACAGGAAAAACAAGCTTGACCACTACCCCTTCATCAAGATCCCCCTGACCACTGAGTGGACCATGAAGAAGACAGAAGACAACAACACATTCATGCTGATTGTAGATGTCCAGGTCAGCAAGCACCAGGACAAAAAGGCTATGAAGAAGCTCTATGACATTGATGGAGCCAAAGTGAATGGGCCTCATGGAGAGAAGACGGCATATGTTTGACTGGTTATGATGATTATGATGCTTTGGACGTTGCTAACAAAATTAGAATGATCTAAACAGAGTCCAGTTGGCTAACTCTAAGTATACATGTTTTTCAACATTAAAGAAGTGAATGAATGATTAAATTCAATGAATAAACACATTTTATAGTATTAGTTGGGATCCATCCAACTCAACTTCAATACAATGATTAGAAATGTACTCTCTTCGACGACTAGAAACTCCCTTCCTATTCCAATACTAGACCATATGAATATGTGTGTATGTGTATGTGTGTATACTCACTCATATATAGGTATTCATTTATATTAAACCAAAGAAAAATAAATTGTGTGTATGTGTGCACATAAACATATTAAGCCAAAGAGAAACTCTGTCTCATTTTTTTCCAAGGTCGATAGTTTTGCCATCTGGAACTATAATGAATCTATTCCCACCTTTACATGAAGATTCCTTCAACTGTYTTCAGATGCCAAATAAGCACAACAGCCTCAGYTCTTTCAACAGCTCAATGAATAACAGGCTATCTGAGTCACCTGTTTGACATTGTCGATGTATACCTGAAACTTCTGAACACCAAAGTACATATAATATGCTAGACATAATCTAGATGCATCAAGGTACAACAAGAAAATCACATCCAAAAATCTTCCATTGGTGAAGCCTAAGTCCTCATTATCATTTATGGCTGCCACAATACATTGCTGGTTCACACAAAACTTATGGTCATTTAAGATGCTCTGTCATTTTTCACACAAACTTCTACCAAACCAGGCCTTCCTGCTCTTAAAACAGGGGTGGCCTGTTGGAAAGAAATTAAATAGCATGGGTACTGACTCATTCCCAAAAATAAAACCTAAAAAGAGCTAGAAAATGGCCACTTATTTTGTGCAGATAAATAACAAATGGTTTTCCACATCTTAAAAATCAGTGACAACGAGTTTGAATTATTGGGGAATTTGTAATTGATGGGAAATAGACATCAAGACATGCCCTCTTGGATGCAAATTTCCAAGAAGTTTTTTGCTGATGGCGTCTTCAAAGCTGAATTAAATGAGTTTCTCACTCTAGAGCTGGCTGAAGATGGCTACTCTGGAGTTGAGGTCCAAGTTATACCAACCAGGACAGAAATCATTAATTTAGCCACCAAGACACAGAATGTTCTTAGAAGGGGTGGCAGAACCAGGAATTGACTACAGTAGTTCAGAAAAAATTTGGCTTCCCTGAGGGCATGTAGAGATTTATGCTGAAAAGGTGGCCACAAGAGGTCTGTGTGCCATTGCCCAGACAGAATCACTGCAATACAAACTCCTAGGGAGGGCTTGCTGTATGGAGGGCCTGTTATGGTGTGCTGCCATTCATCATGGAGAGTGGGGCCAAGGGCTATGGGGCTATGAGGCCACAGTGTCTGGGAAACTCCAAGGACAGAGAGCTAAATCCATGAAGTTCATGGATGGGCTGATGATCTACAGTGGGGATCCTGTTACCTACTATGTTGACACTGCTGTGCATCATGTGCTGCTCAGACAGGGTGTGCTGGGCATCAAAGTAAAGATCATGCTGCCTGGGGACTCAAGTGGTAAGATTGTCCCTAAGAAGCCTCTGCTTGACCATATGAGCATCATGGAACCCAAAGATTAGATGCTGTCCATCACCCCCATCTCAGAACAGAAGGGTAGGAAGCCAGAGCCGCTGCCATGCCCCAGCTAGTCCCTACTGCATAACAGGGTCTCCTTGGCAGCTGCATCTGGAATCTGGATGTTGCTCTTTAAAGACATTTAATAAAATCTTGTACAAAGACATAAGGCCTGACTAGACTTTCTGTCCAGTATTCAAGCTGAGTTATGTTGGCCTGTAGAACATTACTTATCCTTTTGGTTTAAGCTATATTTGCARTATTYGCAAGAGCCAAGACTGGAGGAACCAAGCAGAGCTAACCAGAAAAATATCCTGTGAGACTGTGAAGACTGGAAGCTGGCAGGACAGCACCTGGATTAATTATCCTAAAGTTCAAGATTATACRTTTAGAAGAAGAATTTGGTTTGGTTGGTGGGGACTGAACCTAGGCCTTACACATACTAGGCATGCACTCCACCACTGAGCTGTGGGAGTCAAAATTGTTTTTTTCTGATGYTTAAGGAAATCCATATTGTACATAGAAAGTAAATTCAAATACACAGTTTTGTCATACTAAAAAAAAAAAAAAGACATTCCCTCTTATCAAACTCCTATCTATATAATTTTCTACCTGTGATCACTGAATGTTCCAAAATTAGCAATTTATATTTTAAGAAAAATGGAAACTAGTGCTATAATGAAATGAAACAATTATCTCTAGGCAGAGGTATAATAAGTAATCACTTTTTTGTTCTCCTTTTATATGTWTTTTCAAATATTCTACAAGGATGTATAGTTTTTTTTTTCTTTTTGGAGTACTGGGGATCACATCCAGAGACATGTTACACTAACACTCTGAGCCACATCAACAACCCAAAGTTGTATAGTTTTTATAGTAGGAAAAAAAACAACTTATCATTTGAAATAAATTAACACTTGACACTTTTATATTATGATACAGTTTATAACGTGATTTCTCACATMTTATTTTATCCCATCCCTAATAATCTTTGACAATCTCCATCTAGAATTGGAATTTAGGCATATGACTCAAACTCAGTTAAATAAACTGGCTTTGGAGCTGTGTTCCCTTGTGTCCAAAAAGAGAAAAAAGAATGTAAATGAAAAAGATTACTGGCATATGCTTTATAATAATGGCTAATACTTTTTAAAATGTGCTATATGGCTATATGACCATTTTTAGTAAAYAGTGAAGATGGGATTCAAAGTTAGGGGTGTTTGTTTGTTTAACTGATATGTAACAGTTCATGTTTATGAGTACAGTACAAACTTGGGTCTTTCAGTATCAAGGGTCTGAACTCTTACCTACTATAAAATTATAGTCAGCACAATCCTTCAATTTAACAGATACTTTTGTTAAAAGTTCAGATTAACTACCGTGTTACTAGGCAAGCTACTTTATCTCAATTTTCCTGAAGAATATTAAATAGCTATTACTATGAGTCCACATCATGCCAAAGGCTATGGAACTCTTTTTAGACAAGATTTGAGAAAGGTGAATTTATGTGTGCTGGAATGGGTTAAATAATGTCACGGGAAGGGTTTTCTGTTTCAATACAATGTTTAATGTTTTTTKAAAACAACAGTGCTCCATAGTTTCAATAATTCTACAAGCTATACAATTTTAAAAATCATTAAATACTTGAATAGATGAATATTCTTAAAAGAAAAATGCCTCTTCATCTGACCCTTTCCGTTACAAAG